CTTTGGAAGGGCAGCCTGGCGCTGGAATTATGAGCAGAATCTTCGCCGGAGAACTTAGGCTCAAGGTGAAATCAGCACAGTATTATTACATGGAACGCTAAACACTTGACTAACTCTGCTCAAAGTTAACCATTGGTGAAAAAGTACTGATTACTGGTGTGGGTAAGAGTTGACCAGATCATTCTTGTATGTGGAGCTCATGTAACAAGCATTTAGGTGCGCATCTTATTGCCCGTAACGTCGAAGTCCAGTTTGAAGTCGAAGTAGAGTAGCAAAGGTATTAGGCTCATGATTTAGATTATGTTAAATTCACAGAGGCTTCTAGATAGCGGGTAAGGATCTCTCAAATGCAAAGCGGGTGAAGACGTGATTTTATCTTATCTCTGGGGAATAGTCATTGAGGTTTCAAGAGCCACTCCGAACAGTATGTTGGGGCTATTGGACGTCTAGAGTTTTCCGCTAACCCTATAAGTTGGAGTCTCAAAAATTTTTTTCTATGCTGGAGCGCATATTTTATTTGCAAGCTTATTTAGACATTTCATGTGGACCTGGGACCGTCAAGTAATTTCAACTAATTTCAAAGATGAAGAGACTGGATTATAAGATATCCGCTGCAGAGGATTACGCTTTCGGCTAAACGCGTACCTAAGTAACAACGTGTTGCTATATGTAGTGGGATTTCTTCTTCATATCTTCGCTATCTTCATTAGAGGCCTTTTTCCTTAGATCGTAACGAACATCATCGCCAGTGTTGGATTGTTTTTGTCTTGGATCGTTACCAGCATCATCCCTGCTACCATCTTTGCCATCATTCTTCTTATAATGCTTTTTGCTTCTGTTTGAGCTGTATCTTCGCCTATTTTCTCGCTCGTTGCTGGTCATTCTTCTGTCTTCCGAAGCGTCGCCATCTACGCCTTTCACTTCTTTTGATTTCTTTCCACTTTTTTGACGACGTGTAGAACTGGATCGCTGCTTTTCGGATGCAGATTTTGCTGATAGCGATTTGTCAGCACGGCTAGACCCAGGTTTATCGCCGTTTTGACGGCCTCGTGTCATAGGGGAACGTTGTGATTCTGACTGTATACAGCTGCTAAGTATAGCTTCACTGCCGACGTAGCCATGAAGAAGATACTTCGAACTGAATCTGAAAAAATTCAATTGTTATGGTGCCAAGCAAAGCAGGCATTTTTGGTTGTGTGATGAAGTGTCTAGCACGGGGAGTCAATTTTAGGGTTTTGATGGCTCAAATAAATTTAGATCTCATTGTTGGATTTTCATGTCTAGGCAGTTTTCTGTAGCACCGCAGGAAATGTTGAAAAATCTTTTTTGCGACATTCGGAACGGGAACGTGAACAAGCACGCCACAGGCAAATTACCGGCTGACATCCGAGATTGCGAAGCGGTGCAGAGAAGAGATAAAAGAAGACGTCAATGGATGTGAGAGCAATGTCTGATGCCGCGGAGGTTGGAAGAAGTATACGCGATGCCCATTAAAACTTCGTTCAACCTCAAGACTCTATCATAGCACTTCGTGCACTTGAGTAGAAATCGCGAATATGTGAGAACAAGCAAAAGAAACGCTGGGATCTCCTGGAAATTTCGGGACAGGGTTTTATCCCGCGGCACGTGCTTCGCGGACGAATTCTCTGCTTTGATGAATTATCTACACATCAGCCAAGTTGTTGTGTGGTGCGGCGGCGCACATTTTTGCGGAAAACTACCACCTCATGATCGAGTTTGTCATTCATACCAACGAATTTGACTTTCAACTTCAAGTGAAATACGTCGTACTTTTGAATAAAGCTTGTCGTCAAACAATCCTTCTTGTAGACCTCAAGCACTTTTCGGCAACGTTTCTCCTTCTCCTTGATCCATAGTTTTTGAAACTGTAATGTCTCTTTTGACCTTGAAGTTCAGCAAATGTTGCAGTGCGGTGCAGACCTCGTTCATGTTGGTACCGTATAAGTGTGCTATTACAGCGAGTAATGGAAAAGGAATCTCAGCATAGGTGAGTGAGGTTTGTGCAGAAGCCAAAAGCGAGGATGTGTGAATAATCTCATCGACGGTCTGAAAGAGAAATAGTGCCGGAAGCTTTTCTGCGAAAAAATGTATCTCACTTCTGATCGCAGTATACGGAACAACCATATTCCCAGCAGTACGGTAAGCAGTAATGGTATTAACTGCACTACCATGCAAATATAGGTGAGCCCAACAATATCCATCACATGAGCAGTTGAACTGAAAATGAATCCTCACTTGTTTTTTTTGTGTTGCCAAATCAAGCTTTCAGTATCACCGAAATTTGTGATATTATATCCCTCACCATTGCGATGGGTTTCTCGGTGTGATCTAGAGCAAAGAAAATTGAGGGAATAGGTGCACTAAAGGTGAATCATGATAAATATAGACTTCATGTATTTTGTAGGTGTTTATTCCCTGATGACGGCATTAAGGGCTCGGCACGAGCTGGAACCAAGGATGGCAAAATGTTTACGAGTTTTACTACTTTGAACTCAACCATCACCTTCTGGTGATCACTCACACAATTTAAGAATAAGCGATCATAGACCGAAGAGATTGAAAGACGAAAGACAAGCATGTATCAACATTGAACCACCGGTGCCGATGAAGATAAAACATTCACGCTTTTTTTGCTTAGAACCGCGCTTTGCAATCCGATTTAAGGAGCACGACTGCGCTACCGTTGAAAATCTTTCAAGATCTGTGTTAAGAGACACACGACAGAATTCACACTTTGCTAGCTCTAGTTTTGTCCCTCGTGAAACGCTTTATGGCTAAAGTGGCACAGCGGTAGACTCAGGATAAGGGGAGTTGGAGAGAGGGTACATGTCATATTCAGGGGTACTTTCTTGTCCTTCAAGTTTTTGTAATCATGGAAGTGCCTTTACCGTGACTACCTGCTCCAGTCGAGCAAAAGTAGTGCAATTACACAAAGTGAGTAAATTGAGGACAACTTTAATATCAAGTGACTAAAGTCATGGCAGTCGAGTTGGGTCCCGTTACACATTGTAACCTCTAACAGGGTGAATGATGACATTTGCTTCCAGCTTCGATTGTTTATTAATTTTGGGACCAGGTGACTTGATAATCGCATCAGTTGACTGAGCGTATACCAGATGTTAAACACTCGACGGATAACGTTTCGGCGAGATCGCCTTCTCCGAGCCTAGAAAGTCGAAAACATAATTGAAACATTCCCTAAACGCCAAGATCACAGTTCAAGAAGTAAATCATTTTATAGAACGAAAGGCAAAGAGGTACGAGGTCAATACTCACTCTGTGACTAAAAGATGTGTGTTTCACCATTATATACTCAGATAATACCTCTTCCCCTATTTATAACTTCGGGTAACCTGACCTCGTATCAAAATCGCAGAGGGATTGATAAGGCGCGAGTTCATAAGTTAGCTCGATGCGCTCCTCCGGTTCATCTTAATATTCTTGGCCTTGACATAAAACGCTTCCAAGTTTTTGCGCACAAGGAGCTCTCGCGCTCGTAGCCTAATATAGACACTCCGATACGTACTTCAGCGTTCCCATGGCACGAAATGCGATGGCTGTCTAACTGAGTAGCTGGATTTGATTTCTTAAGCCCAAACAAATGTTCTTCAATGCGTCAACAAAGAGGGCGTCCCGTTTCTCCGGTATACGTATAACCGCACGATAATCACGTTATGAGGTAGACAACACCGAAGACCATGCAATCACCCTCCTTGCCAAATGGACAAGCGACGCATGCGGAGTAGGCGTACAGGCGGCATACGTAT